TCCCTAAAAGTGTTGTATCAGCACCCACTAATACTTCCCTAAAAGTGTTGTATCAGCACCCACTATTACTTCCCTAAAAGTGTTGTATCAGCACCCACTAATACTTCCCTAAAAGCTTTGCATCAGCACCCACTATTATTCCATTAAAGCTTTGCATCAGCACCCACAATTACTTCACTAAAAGTGTTGTATCAGCACCCACTAATACTTCACTAAAAGTGTTTTATCAGCACCCACTATTACTTCCCTAAAAGTGTTGTATCAGCACCCACTATTACTTCACTAAAAGTGTTGCATCAGCACCCACTAATACTTCCCTAAAAGTGTTGTATCAGCACCCACTATTACTTCCTTAAAAGTGTTGTATCAGCACCCACTATTACTTCCATAAAAGCTTTGCATCAGCACCCTCTATTAACACACTTAAATTAGGACATGGCAAATATTATGGCATAGTCTAAGTATAAACTATGTTCATGCAGGATGGGGACTTTAACACTTAGGCCCCGGGTGACATTCCAGAACGTCCGCCCATTCCTGCCACTGTTTAAATGCCCAGCGTGGGTTATCAGGTTCCAGAGTGACTATTTGCCAGTCACGCCACACCTCGACCACAGGGAAGCTTCCTGAACATAATTACCTAATTTTGTTTGTTTCATTATATTTGTCCATTTTATCATGTTGTATCAAAGTAATATTGCTAAAAGTAGTGTAGTTGTATTGTAGGGTAGTAATACTGTAAAACAATGCTATGATTATGATATAAATGTTTTTATTTGTGGAATTATTTTATGCATTATTTGCTCTAACCAACACAAAGACAGCCAGGCAGACTGGTGACCGACAGGTGAGTGTTGTCAAGCACTTTTTATGAAAAATAATGCAAATAAAATATTATAAATTAATTATTTATAGCAAATAAGTATTAAGATCAGTAAATATGTACATTATTGGCCACCTCGGACACAAAGACGAGCTAAAAATAGCTGCTAAGTGTGGAGGGACCACAAGCATCAGCTGTCAAACCAACAGTATCCTTATCTCCCTCCCTCCCTCCTCACGCACGGCCAGGGAAGCTTCTAGAGGGTTAATATATAGTTTTTCTTACTTATTTTTTACTGTTTTATCATTTTAAAAAGTTTAAAAATTTTTTTGGAAAAGTTGATTTTTCTCGATTTACCCCTGCACGGAGGGGTGGGGGTGGGAGTTACTGCCACCAGCACCCTAACCTGGAGCTAAAGGGGTAAAATATTTCTTCTTGCAACCCCATTAATTATTACTAGCTCAGCACTGGCTGACCTAAATCACTGTTGTTTAACACAAATACTCTTTGCAAAAGCAGCTGATAAAACTAAAACTATGATAAATTGTGTATGGAGTCTGTTGGTGTAGAAAATTGTGTGAAGTTTGTTGGTGTAATTAATTGTGTGAAGTCTGTTGGTGTAGAAAATTGTGTGGAGTCTGTTGGTGTAGAAAATTGTGTGAAGTTTGTTGGTGTAATTAATTGTGTGAAGTCTGTTGGTGTAGAAAATTGTGTATGGAGGCTGTTGGTGTAGAAAATTGTGTATGGAGGCTGTTGGTGTAGAAAATTGTGTGGAGTCTGTTGGTGCAGAAAATGGCTAACTCAGTATTTCAACCTGTGCTGAGCCCTTATGATTGTGAATTGTAGTGGTTTTACTCTATATACATTTATAAATTTATTTACCTGTGGTGTAATGGGGTTGGAGAGTAACTGAGGGGAGAAGATAGAATGGGCATTGTTGGTCCTTGGAGTGATTGGAGGCTGAGGTGCAAGACCTCTTGGAGGTCTTTTAGCTGGACTCCCTTCCATTGAGGATTCATCTGAAATTACACAAGAGCCTTTGGATATTACAAAATCTCTAAAAACTCACACTAATTTTCTATTAATTAAACTGGAATTAAGATCTGGAAAACTAAAAATTATGCCAGGAAGATGACAACAGACAGTGAAGGAAACTTTGCCAGACAACATTCAGTGCACACTTAACCTACATGATGAGGTCCAGATAACCTACAGTATACATAAAATGACAAATTTCCTATATAAACTTGTATGGTACAGTATGAATGACACGCACACCCCACGTATGCACGCACACAACACACAGTACCCTCAAATGGATAAATATTTATTTAAAGAATATTATTGGACAAAGAAAGGCTATAGGTAGGAGAAGAAATCGTGGTAAAGTTTATCTCTGAGATTATTAAAGTATGCCCCCCAAGTTTGCAGAGGACACCCTGGATGTACCCAAGAATGTCTGTGGGTAGTTTTAAAGTTGTCGGCATTTTTCCGGCAGGGACAGGGAGCCATTCGTTCTAGACAGTAATTTCCTTTACCTGTACAGTACTGTAAATATGTGCGTGTGTGACGACACACACACGCACACAAAACACATACAAATAAATAATAATTTGAAAATCCTCTCACAAATAACCAGAAACAAATTTATTAAAAATGTGAGTCTACCCTCAAGTCCGTGCTCTATTACAGTACTTTATTAATAGAGCAAGGACTTGAGGGTAGACAGTCACATATTTAATAAAAAAAATTTTATTATTTGTGATAAGATTTTCCAATTTTTATTTATTTGTATATGTTTTGTGTGTACACATATACAATACTATAGGAAAAATAAATACAGGTACTCCTTGCCTTACGACCTATTTGACTTACGACCACCAGGACATACGACCACCGCAGTCATACCAAAAAAAAATTCAAATTACGTATTTTTGAGTCCCAATGTTAGTGATCGCGCTGTGTACTGATAAAATTTTTGTTTGTAATTCTCTTTAAAATGGCTGGCAAGCGTAAAAGTGAGACTTCTCGTGTTGAGAAGAAAAATAGACACCCAGAAATTTATGTAAATCTACCCAAAAATACAGTTGAAAAAATTTTACATTATTAAATATACTAATGTACAGTGGGGTATGCTATAATGAACGGATCCTACTACGAATATTCCTATAACGAACGCGGATGAATACGGGACTATTTCGCCTGGCGCATGAATATTGTTGTACCGCGACCCAGAACAAGAGCGTCAGGCGCCATCTTTGTCTCATTGTGTAGCCAGTGCACCACTGTTATTGTTGAAATTTCGTCTTTTGATGTGGAAATTCGCGTTATTTGTATAACTATTTTGTTATACAAGTATACAATTGTAAGAATGAATCGTCCAAAGCGAGTGAGAAAGCTAATAACCCTTGAAACTAAGAAAGAAATTATAAAGAAACGTGAGAATGGAAGAAGCATTGCGAAACTTAGTGATGAATATGGGATGGCTAAATCGACTATATGTACGATTTTGAAGAATAAAGAAGAGTTAAAAACTGTGCAAGTGGCTAAGGGAATCTTTAGACTTAGCAAAGCAAAGTGTAATGTGATTGAAGAGATGGAAAATTTACTCTTAGTGTGGATAAAGGAGAAAGAAATGGCAGGTGGTAACATTAGTGAAGCTATAATTTGTGAGAAGGCCAGACAATTGTTTGAGGACCTTAAAGCCAAGACTCCCAGTGGAAGTGATAGTGATGTGCCAGTGTTTAGGGGTACCTGCATGCTGAATAACACTTAGGTAAGATAAAGTATCGTATTTTTTACATTTTCCACAGAATTTTTTCAGTGTTAAGTGGTTGTATTTGGGGGCCTGGAACGGATTAATCCTATAACGAACGAGGTTCTGGAACCAATTACGTTCGTTATAGCATACCCCACTGTACTAAAATTTTTATCTCGTGCAAAATATATGACGTTTATATTCAAATTATTGGCTGTCTTGCAAGGATTCCAGCAATGCAAATTATATTCTCCTAACTTTAGTCTGTGGTATTATATAAGATAAAAACTTAAAGCCTACTGTAAAACCACCAAACACTTGCTGGGATGGGGGGGTTACACTGACATGTTTGACAGCTAGGACGAAGGTCTAGTGAAGTATTTATTTGTTTATTTATGTCCTTTAGATTGAGTTTTTGTTTTTTTGCTTATAAAATGTCATAGAAGTGGCCGGGGAGAATATAATTTACATTGCTGGAATTCTTATAAGATAGTGATTAATTTAAATGTAAACATGTGATAATTTGCACTAGACAAAAATTTTAGTAATCATTTTGTTCATTATTTTCATTACATGTACAGTACAGCTTTGCCCTTAGGACAGTGTGTGCATGTAAATGAGTTTCAATAAATGAATAAAGTTACATATATCGAGCCAAAAATAATAGTTGAAAAACTTGATGTAGACAGAGCTTGGACGGTTAAATTTTAGAATGACCAATAATTTTAATATAAAAAATGCAAAAATATTCAAGAACACAACCTTCTTGATATTTACTCCACTGGAAACAAAAGTAAACAAAGAACAGATTACTGTATTGGCGGACTAGCCGATCAGCTGAAGCTCACACCAAAACGTGTTTGTCGTAAGGATTTAGTTAATCAAAGTTTTGTTAGTTAACCGAATTAAAGATCCTTATGGGATGTAATTCGTAAACCAAAATTTCATACGTACAGTGGGGTATGCTATAACGAATCTAATTGGTTCTAAAACCTTGTTCATTATAGCATTCGTTCGTTATAGGATTAATCCGTTCCAGGCCCCCAAATACAACCACTGAAAAATATATAAAATTGTAAAAATTGTAAAAAGTGCAAAAATATGCATCTAAACCCCTGAAATAAAGACAATCATTAATACCTGTAATAAAAAAACAATAAATAAGTAAAAAAAAAAAAAAATAAATAAAATAATGTTCGTTGTAGGAGTTTCGTTCATTATTGCATTCTCAATTTTATAGGTAAAACCGTTCGTTATAGGAATATTCGTAGTAAGATCCGTTCGTTATAGGATACCCCACTGTACTTGTATTTTCTAGGACCGAAACGTTTCCGTCACGTACGAGAGCGTCGCGTGGTGTACAGCGTCCACGCCGTGGCGCTCTCAATTGGTGTTTGGCTGTCGTTGTTGTCGGTAGTGATCACGCTATGTACTGACAATATTTTCGTTTTTAATTCCCTTTAAAATGACTGGAAAGCATAAAAGTGCGAGTGCTGGTGGTGCTCAAAAGAAAAGGAGACAGTCAATTACTTTTGAGATGAAAATGAAGATGATAATGCAATATGAAAATGAAAAACGGAAGCAACCATTTCAAGCGACCTTGGCTTCTCTCACTTAACGATATCGACATTTTGAAGGACAAGGAACGAATTTGTGAGGGAGTGAAAGGATCAGCACCTATATAAGGAACAATAATAACGAAAAAAAAGAAAAGGTCCTATTCACGAGATGGAAAAATTACTTGTGATATGGATGGAAGACCAAATACAAAAGCGTGCACCCTTAAGCCTTCTAACCCTACAGGCTAAGGCAAGAAGCCATTTTGAAAGCCTGAAAGAGCAGGCAGGAGATGAGTGCGATCAAACCTACACAGCAAGTCATGGATGGTTCCAAAGGTTTAAGAAACGTTACAGTTTGCACAGTGTAAAGGTGAGTGAAGAGGCAGCAAGTGCTGATGTGGGTACTGCCAATGCTTTTAAGGAGCTAAATCGTGTCATCGTGGAGGGAAATTATTTGCCTGAGCAAATATTTAATGTGGATGAAACTGGCTTATTCTGGAAGCGCATTCCAGAACGGACGGACATACATCCACAAAGAGAAGAAAAGCATGCCGGGATTCAAGGCATTCAAGGTTTCAAGATAAAGCCCTCCATGATATATCATTCAGAGAACCCAAGGGCTTTTAAACATGTCAGCAAGCACACACTGCCAGTGTTTTATCGCAGTAATAAGAAAGCATGGAAGACCCTAGTACTGTTTGAGGATTGGTTCCTGAGTTGTTTCATTCCACAAGCCAAGGAGTATTGTCTGCAACAGATTGCGTTCAAAATTTTACTAATTTTAGATAATGCTCCGGGACACCCACCACACCTGGATGACCTGCACCCTGATGTTAAGGTACTCTACATTCCACCTAACACTACCTCTGTCATCCAACCCATGGATCAAAGTGCTATTGCTGCTTTTAAAGCGTATTATTTACGTACGATCTTCGCTCAGGTTGTTGCTGCTACTGAAGGTGAGAAAACGCTCAGAGAGTTTTGGAAGGACTACAACATTTTGAAATGTATAAAGAACATAGCTGCAGCATGGGACGAGGTTACAGGTCAGTGCATGAATGGAATATGGAAGAAAGTCCTGAAAAGAAATGTGAACAGTTTCAAAGGATTTAATGAAGGTGAAGTAATTTCTGAGATTAATGACAAGATAGTGGAGTTGGGTAAACAGCTTGAGTTAGAAATTGATAATGAAGATGTTGAGTAGTTGGTTGAAAGTGTAGCAGAAGAGCTAAGTAACGAGGATCTTGTTAAACTGGAAGCACAGAAAAATGCAGAGGAAGAAAAGTCAAAATCTAGAAGAACCTACACCCCCAAAAAAAAATTTCAGTGAAACAAATGGCAGAGGCATTTGCTACTTTTAATAAGGGGATGCAAATGTTTGACGGAATGGATCAAAATGTTGAGCGTTTTACAAAAGTTGACAGAATGATCCAAGATGCACTCGCTTGCAACAGGGAGATTTACAATGAAAAGAAAAGGCAAACTGTGCAGTCTAGATTGGACATACAGTATATCTTAAGAAGTCCCCCATTGCTGTCTCCTCACTCCCCACCAGTGCTGCCTTTTCACTCCCTAAAGATGATCCAATACCTTCGACAAGCAAGTATCCCCTGTATGTTAACCTGTTTGAAGAAAGCGACATTGATGAACCACTCAGCCCTGTCTCCTCCTCTGCTTCATCCAATTAATGTAGTCTCCATGC